TCTGGCGCCACTTCCTGCCCTCTGGCGCCACTTCCTGCCCTCTGGCGCCACTTCCTGCTGCCTTTGTGCTGCAGGAAGTGAGCAGTAAATAACCGAGAGGATGTTTGGGATTCCAGCGGCGGCGCCTGTGAAACGGGTCCAGTAAACCTAGCGGTGGTTCTGGAGAGGAGGCGACCCGGTCTGGTGTTCCTCTGGTTCTACGCTGCACCAGAAGGTTTTTCTGATCTCGGATCAAAGTTCTGGACTCGGTTCCTCCTTTGTTCTGGTTCAGTCGGGGTTTTCCAGGAAACCTTGATCCATGTTTCCTGTGAATCAGTCCGAGTGAGACACTGTCAGTGTGATCCTATCTGTGTTTAGACCCGGGCTCAGGTTCTGGGCTCAGGCCCAGTTCTGATCTCTGGGGGTTCGAACCATTAGATGCTCTGACAGAGATGGAGGTGTTTTACTCCGACATGTGAACCAGAACTGGGCCCAGAACCAGAACCGGGCCCAGAAGGCCCACTGACCCGTGTTCTCCTCCCTCAGCTCCACATCCTGGTTTCCTCCAGCAGCGTGAAGCTGAAGGTCGACTGCCAGGAAGTGGAGGAGAAGAAGACAAAGGCGGCCGGCAACGTGTCCAGAGACGGGTACCAGGTTCTGGGCAAGATGGCCAAGTCCATCGGGTCCAAAGGCCAGTCTGCCACGGTGAGTCAGCGGCCCCCGAACCACCACCAGGAACCCAGACAGGTTAAATCATTTCATCCCCAAAGATCTGGAGACATACGACAAAATATCAGACATATCACCAGTACAGGCGAGATATGAAATAAAACATAATAACATTGAATAAATCATAATAATAATGAATAAATNAATTAAAACGTATCAGATTCCTAAATATCTTTGTTTTGACATCTGACTGAACAGATTCCTTATTCTGAACAGATTTTTTTATCTTGAACAGTTCTTCTGTCTCTGATTTGAACAGTTCTCTTGGTTCTGAACAGTTCTCTCTCCTCCAGGTTCTGCTCAGACTGTTTCGTTCTACAATAAGGACGAAACCGGAGAAATCCAGAGAGTCACATTTGACCACAGCCTGGTGAAGAAGATCTTCCATGGCAGCTTCCACAAGGTAAGCCGTCCAGTCCCCTCCCCCACCCGCTGCTGCTCACATCAGGACGTCTGAATCATGAAACGTTTTTCTGCTCTGAGGAGAAAAACTTTAGGGGGAGCGTCTCTGTTCCTCCCAGTCCAGATGAGGAGATGGAGCACTAACATCTGAGGAGGTCAGACAGCGCCCCCCGCAGGTTAAAGGCAGCGCACCAGGCCACGCTCGTCTCGATTCCTGAACCATTTCCAGAGAGCCAGACCGTCCATGAATATATCAGGAATATTCCACAGCGCCGTTATTTTTATCCAAATATATCCCAGGAGACATTTGATGTTTTGATACGTAAACCGTGAATTCTTCCTAGAAATCTAGAAACCGTTTCGTTTAGTTTTTATTCGTTAGATGTCAGAGTTGCTGCTAAATGCTTCATGTCTGACTTCATGACGGTTAGTAATAAACACACAGTGGTGTGTGTTTATTACTAAAATGTAATAAACATTTAATAAAAATGTACTTAAGTACATTTTTCGTGTATCTGTACTTTACTTAAGTAGATTTAATAATGGGTACTTTCTACTTTTACTCCTACATTTTACAGTAAGTACCTGTACTTTCTACTTCACTACATTTCTACAAAACTGTCGCGTTACTCGTTACATCCAAGTCGCGTTGCTCTTTTTGTCTGTTAAAATGTGAAGTTCAGGGTTTTAAGGTGGCGCCGTAAAATCCAAGCAATAACGTGACTTAGTGTCTGTTGTCACCCGTCTCCACCTTTACTCGCACGCGGAGCTCCAGACATGCGCAGTGGTTTCCTCTGAGCGGGAGAAGATGTCTAACTAAACGATAATAGCTGCATAAATCATAGATATAGCGACTGAGTCCAACTTTTAGCATCACTTGGAAGGAAAGCTTAAAGAAAGGTAAGATCTGTGGATGTGATGCTAGCAA